CAAATACAGACATAAAACAACATTAAAAGACAGAAATAAAACAAATAAAACAGTAAACAAATGTCACTGAGAAATCGATCGACTAAAACAGTTTCAAAACAAGTGCAAATCATTAAAGTGCTCTGTTCACACTGATAACAGCTTGTGGATAAAAACTGTTAGCGTAACGAGATGTCCTGCATCTCAGAGAGCGATATCTTCTGCCAGAGGGAAGAAGCTGGAACATGGCTTTCCCAGGGTGGCCAGAAGAGTCATTAACAATCCTAAGAGCTTTGTTTAAAAGTCTGGATTTATAAAGAACCTCCAGAACAGGAAGCTCACAGCCCACGGTCCTCTTTGCAGAGCGGAGCACCTTGTTTAAAGCTCTCTTTTCTTTATCTGTGATGTTTCCAAACCACACAGACACAGAACCAACAAGTAAACTCTCAATGGTGCAGCCATAAAAGTTAAGCACAATCTTAGAGTTAGTGGTATTCTCTAAGTTCTCTAAATTCTCTAAGTTTACGCAAAAAGAAAAGACGCTGACGAGCTTTCTTAACGACTCGGTCAGGTAAGTAGGGCATGGTCTGTTTAGAAATGTGATGGGAGACCTTTGGAAACACCAGGTTGTGGGTTGTGGGGCAGCTGCAGCTATAAAGTGCCATATGCTCGTTGTGTCTTTAGGCATGATACTTCACGTTCACATTGCCTAGGATGAGTGTGGTGTTTGTGTGTGAATGATTGGTGGTGGTCTGAAGGGCCGATGGCACATACTGGTTGCCTTGCTTCTGTCGGTGTGCCCCAGGGCAGCTGTGACCAGTGTTGTGCGTGAACGAGTTCAAAAGAACGCGTTCCTTGAACACGCTCATTTTTTTGTGAACGTTGAACTGAATGCAACACATTTTTAAAAAAAGAACTTGAACGTGAATTAGTTCATTTTATGTGTCATGAACGGCAGACATCACTATGAACGTTGGAATCTGTTTTCTCTTTTGAAACGCAACGAGAGAAAGTTCCTCCCTCCTGTATTCTCGCACTTTTTCCGCTGAAATCTAAAAATTCCTACGGTTTCCACCGTCTGTGAACGCACCCCGACTCCGTGTTGTGGTGCGGCGCTGTGAGCTGGTGCTTTTCTCATGTGCCCAAGTCGTGATGAAAACACAGGGTGAGTTAGCGACAAAGTTTACACCGTTTACATTTGACATAAAGTATAGACACAGCACTGCAGCACATTACTGTTTGTAGTTTATGAGCAGAGATGGAACAACTCCGTTTTGCTCCCATTGAAACCTTGTAAATCTTGTCTGTTTTGTAGTCAAAAGGCTCTCCTCCTGTGGGTGTACAGGAGATATATATATATATATATATATATATATATATATATATAGCTCGTAGTGTGAAAAACATGTATTTAAGTATCTCACGAAAAAAGTAAAATGAACTGAACTTTGAACTAGTTCAGAATTAAAAATGTGAACTTTGAACGTGAACTGTTCACTTTGAGCATGTATGAACTGAACTTGAACTAGTTCAGAAAAGCTGTGAACTGGCACAACACTGGCTGTGACTACAGTAGTAGTTTATCACCACCTTGTATGGAGTGAAACAATAAAAACATGTGAAATGTCTTTCAGTGTCCTCAAAAGCACTATATAAAACCAAAGCATCATTATCATTCTCATTACACGTATCTCATACAAGCCTAAAAACCCTTTAAAGAACACATTTGTGATATCCCCTAACTCTGAGTCATCTTTATCCAATGAAAACCAATTCTTCAAGTTATTTTTCTCAAGATCAGAGTGAAAAAACACTACCTTGTTTGACTAATAAAAGCCAATCTTTGTGTTTTGTGCATACACACTGCATTTTCTTGTTAGTCTATTCCCTCTGATGCCAGAAGGTGTTGAGGTTCATCCCAATTACAGTTGAGAAGTCATCTTGGTTCAAGTTCTAAAGCATGTCCAAACAAAAGAGCTTCAGCTTAAGTTCAAGGATTTAAATAACATACTGTATGGATATTACATACAGTATAGTTTATGGAATACTAAACCAGGTTTGCCGTATTTTGATGAAAACACTAAATAAGTGCAACCTGGTCCACTAAAGACCTCAGTTAACTCATTATTGACGCTGATCTGTGACGATGTGGATTATTTCTGAAGGGGACCAAGTCTTTAGACCAATAGGAGTAAATGTAAAGTTGCATTTGGTAACTTTGAATGGAGCTTTTATCCTTTGTCTTGGGATTATCCGTCCATCCACGGGGGCAGCTCATAGGGATAAATGTTGGGGCATCTGTCCGTCATGTGTGCAAATCTACAGTATCTGTTGTATGTAGCTTGTGGAGTCATGGCAATGGTGCAGTACCATAGACTGTATATATTAACGGACAGAGTCACGCCTATCTCCGCCGTTCATAGGAGTTGGCGAGGAAAAATGCTTTCATGGAGCAATCCAAGATGGCTGCGAGTGGTCCCGCCCACAAGAAAATTGTGAAAAAACGCATCTGTGCATGCGTCAGCCGGCGCAGCTCCATTCATTTGAACGAGAGACTTAAAAAATTCCCCGCGAGTAAACTAGAGTGGACCAAAAAAAATCACCCCCCTCAGCATTGACACACATGTGGAATGGAGCTTTGGGCCAAGAGCCAACTTTTGGTCTTTAGGTCTGCCAAAGCTATATGTTAGCCTTGGCTAATTCTTCTTCTGGGTCCACCCCCAACAGCCCGGAGTGGTATTGCAAGCATGTCAGCGCACGTCATTTTGGCCACTTTTGAGCTGGGACCCGCCCCCACTGTGCAGTACATTAACCAAGCTCTGGAGGCACTGTAAGGGAGCGGCCCGGCTCAATGTCCAAACATCCCGCCTCGGAGTGCTCTGTCTGCCTGCCACAACAGTCTTTATCTCGGAGGACTTTACACAACTTTTTAATTTGCCAACACATATCAGAGAATCAAACCGTCAAATCAAACAAGAAAATACACTGGTATTGGTCCATGAGGGACGGATGACCAATGTCCACAAGTGTTGATAAATGTTGATAAATGTTGAATGTTGAGAGTCCTGTATCATCACCACTGTCCTTTTAGTTAGACCTAGTTAGACTTTTCCCTCTCTAAACCCAGTATGAAAAGTGAGAAACGTCGGGGAGGTCCGTATTGAAAGACCTCCCATGGACAGACGGGCTGTAGATCCAGGACTACAGCACGAGTTTGAGGTGGTACAATAAATATACTACACTATCAAATAAAAGCTTCAACTTTTTGAAGTGAGAGGCATAGAGATATTTGGACTTAAGGGGCCAATGATCAAAGCCAGTTTTATTTGGGAACACAAAAAAAGTACATAAATGCAATAATTGATGACAAAAGATTAACTCAGTGGGGGAAGTATTATCGATGGGATATACACGTATGAACTTCGAAGGCAACATTCCACTATTCTACATGTCTGAATGTCTTGATCGTTTTGCACTGGACTCACTGTAAGGTCAAACAGTGGCAGCAGCAGGAGATATTCATCCTGCCGTCCCCTTTGGCCTCACTAAGTAAAGAGTGGATAAAGCGTATTTTCCACTGCACTGGTCTATGGCTCTGTGGCTAAATGGTGATATGATGCTGCCTCGAGGTGTACCTTAAATCCTCAACTTTCCTCCCCCAAGGTAAGGCTGAGAAGATGAAAGAGGAATTTAGAAGCTTGTGCGTTGTGTGTCCAAATTTGTGTGTGTGTGTGTGTGTGTGAATGGGCAGTGGTCCACGCTATAGTCCTGGTCTGGGCCATAGAGAATGAATGGGTTTAGTGCCGCGGCCGGACAGAAAAATCAATGCTTCATATGAGGAGGCTGCGGGGGTTAGGCCTCCGTGTTCATGTCAACAAGGCTATTGGTTTTCTTAATACTCCAAAGTTGGCGTTTCCCCGCTTCGGGAGGGCCAGCGAGGTGACTTGTGTGGTCAAAGCTTAACAAAGGGATCCTTGCCTTCTAGCCTTTCGTGTACTCCTTGGCCCAGGGAAGCCGGGCTAGGATTAATTACCAACAGAGCCAACTGGATATTAGTCGCTGTTTTCTCCCATTGTCACACAGCACCCAGGAGTGATGCTGTTGGAGGCAGCTCGGGCAGACGGCAGAGCAATGGGCTAATACTGTTAGATGGACTAACGCTGTTACAGGGGATAGTACCGAGGGGGGGGGGCTGTGTGGTCATTAGGCCCCACTGCATTTGGCTTTCACAGCGTAATCAGTGTGGGGGACAGAGCAGGCGTGGCCATCATCGGCAAGAAGATGTAGATGAAGAGATCCCTTAGTCGTCCCACAGTGGGGAAATTTCAGTGTTGCATCACAAGGTAAAGATACTAGGAATTTGGAGCACACAGTACTTATTTTAGAATAGTAATCTATTCTATAGTAAGATAAAATAAACTCTCTGACTCTAGCATTAAAAAGTAGCAGTATAAAAGTCTCTATATATAGCATAATAAGGAAATAAGTCTATAATCTCCAACTTTAGCGTTGATGAAGCAAGACATAAATACAACATCTCTGACTTAATAAAGAAGCAAGTATAACACTGTATATATTCACGTGCAACAAAGAACACTCACAAAATTAGTTAATTTATTTAACTAAATGTGTATGGTAGTTTGCATACAGTTTTGACTATAGTTATTCTTGGTCTTTCAAATACACATCAAGTTTAAGTCAGCATCTGCGACCTTTCCTTCCTTGCTACAATTAGGAACTGACACGGCCGGCCTGACCTTGGACGTTGTTCATCTGTGCAATAACTTTAACTGATGTGAGAATGTGCAATGTCGAACCACATGTGTCACTGTCACTTGTCACTACAAGATATATTCTTCAGAAGAATATACTTTTTTTTTTAACTTAATTTATATTACATTTTAGATTGGCCTCCTTATTTTGCTAACGCGATTTTATACTTATTTTTTCTCTAAATCTCAAAAACTGCAAAATAAACACGATTTCCAGCATCTTTTGGGCCACAGTTAAAACACTTTCCAATGCTCTTAAACGCTCCCCACATAGTCCCTCTGCTCATGCACATGGAGCTGTCGTTAGCCACAGCGGGCGCAGACAGCGGACCCATGGGGAGGGGGCTCTCTGGTCAGCAGAGGCAGGACCAGCAGCAGTTGAACATTGCTCACCCAGAGCAATCGGATGAAAACGCAGTGCAGATGTAATTTGTTTTCAATGGCTGTTTCAAAAGAATAATTGTGGTGACACAGGCCGGTCGATAATATGGATTTTTGTTTTCGAGTGCAGTGTGTGTGTGGCACTAAGAGAGAGCAGGAAATACAACACTGCAGCCAAATGTGATAAAAATGGATCGTGTGTGTTTGTAGGGGTATTTTGCAGGGCTGGTAACCATCACTGGGCCCAGGACATCATTGGAAGGATTACTAAATGTGTCCTTTGGGCTGCTTTAGACTACTCTTCCCTCTCAGTCACAGTTTGCCTTCCCCTGTTGTTTTGTCCGAGGAAAAACACTGTGGCCCTGAATAAACTCAGTTAGGATGAAACACAGCCCAGGGAGCAGACCACCGCGGACCAACCCTACGGGTCAGAGAGCACGTCCAGGAGCCGGTCAAGGACACACCACACCACAGTCATACAGCAGCAGTCAAGGTGAGGACACATGATATTGAAAGGAAGTGATTTGCATAAAGACATATTCACTTCTGCATCATTTTAAATATGCAAAACGTGTTGATTTTTAAACCAGAAATAATGTGTATTTTAAAATTTTGATTTTTCACTACGCTATATACGTGTAGTATCAAAAAGTTCTTATATTATGTGTGATGATAATGAATAGGGCTGTAACAAGTTAGTCAATACAACTTAAACATAGGCATAAACAAGCTGAGATAAGTTAATATGACACATATAATTCTATAATGACTGAAATCACATTTTTATTTCATTCTGGAGTAATTTTATGTCAACTTTAGGGCATAACTTGAGCTTTGTTTTGGTAAAATGTGTGAAAAATTCTGTATCCTAAACACTAATTGACAAATCAAGAGAAAAATCGTCCGATTTAAACATGTTCATGCAATTTCAAACTACTCTCTTGTTTTTTAGTGCACTGCACTTTTAGTGCAAATGTTTCTTACCATCTCTATGCTGATGATATCCAACTGTATTTTTCGTTTAAGGAGTCAGAGTTGCACAGACTGTCAGAGTTAATGGATTGTCTTTCAAGTGTAAAGTCGTGGCTTCGTGAAAACTGCCTTCAGTTGAATTCTAAAAAGACTGAGACTTTGATAATTGCTCCGGAGCAAAAAATTCCTTCAATTGTAAACCACCTTGGTTCTCTGGGCTCCTCGGTTCAGTCGAGCGTCAGAAATCTTGGTGTTTGGTTTGACCAGTCTCTGTCCCTTGACCGCCACTCGAGACACTTGGCCAAAAACTGTTTTTTCCATTTGAGAAACATTGCCAAGTTGAGGCTAATTTTATCCAAATCTGATCTAGAATTGGTGATTCATGCTTTTATCTCGTCTCGTTTAGATTATTGTAACTCCCTTTTTACTTGTTTTAACAAATCTGCTTTGAATCGTCTTCAAATGGTTCAAAATGCTGCTGCGCGGCTTTTAACAGGCTCTAGCAGACGGTCACACATTACTCCTATTTTATCCTCTCTGCACTGGCTTCCCATCAAATTTCGAATTGATTTCAAAATTTTAGTATTGACTTTTAGAGCGCTGAATGGTCAGGCTCCCAAATACGTGTCTGACCTGCTGTGCCCTTACTCCTCCGGTCGCAACCTTAGGTCTTTGGGTCAGAACCTCCTTGCTGTCCCAAGGACCCACTTTAAAACCAGAGGTGACCTGTCCTTTGAAGTTGTTGCTCCTAAACTGTGGAATGCCCTTCCTCTGTCGCTACGTGTGACCGACACTGTCGATTCCTTTAAAAAACAGCTGAAGACATGGCTGTTTGGACGAGCTTTTAGTTGAAAAGGCTGTGATTGTTTTAATTAATTTGTTTTAAGATTGCTCTGTAACTTTTATTGTTGTGCCCCTGTGAAGCACTTTGTGATTTTATCTGTGAAAGGTGCTATATAAATAAAGTTTCTTCTTCTTCTTCTTCACTGTCCTCCACACTCTCCCTTCACAATGACCACTCCTATCCCCCCAACTCCCATCCAACATTCAACCATCGTCCATCCTCCCCTACACTTTCCACCCTTCCCCTTTTCTCCTCCTTCTCCTCAGGCTCATCTCAATATGGCCTTCCTGTTGCCGGATAATAGCCACTTTGACCAAATCGGACAGAGTTTTTCGGCGCGGGGCCTTGCAATCGTAATCCGTCAGCAGAAAGCTCATTGAAGGGGTGGGATTGTGTAATGAGTGGAGGTAGATTTAGGCTATTCGCACCAGGGCTGGCCAGACTGGGACACACACAGTAAAAGGACATTATTCCGGTGTATCCAGTGCTGTGCCGGATACTTTCCTCCCTCCTCTCTCCCTTTCTCTCTCTCTCATCTCTTCTCTTTCGTCTCATTCGCTCGGTCTTTCGGCACTGTTCCCTTGCCGCGGGTGGTCACCAGAGACCGGCGGGGGCTGATTTATTCTGGCTCTCCCCTGTCCTCTGCCTGACTGCTTCTGCAATGGAGAAATTTCCTCCACACACGCCGCGGTTTAAGGCAGGTAAAGCAGTGGGAATGAGAGAACAGAGCACTGGTATTAGAACATCCAGCAGCCTAATAGTGTCCCAATGCAGTGTCCTAAAGGCTCTGGGCACAGCGGGACCAGACGGATACATTGCTCTTATAAAAGGCCTGTTTGAAAGAATGGGTGGTGTTACAGAGGGTTGTAGATTTGAGGTTCAATGTAAAAATATAAACAGCTTTTTTATATGTTAAGACAATAAAAAGGTAATCAAAATGACATATTTTAACCTGGCTTGCACATTTTTTCATTGTCTATTTATTTAGAAGATTCATCCATCCATCCATCCATTTTCTTCCCCTTAATCCACATGTGTCAAAGTCAAGGCCCGCGGGCCAAACCCGGCCCGCAAATGAATTTTACATGGCCCGTTGCCTGCCATTGACGCACTATAACGTCAATTGCGTTTTCCGCTATTTTCATGTTCCCAGATGTCTATTATATCTAATATGTTTGGGGATAAGCTTGAGAGCATATTGAATCAAGCCAGCAGGTGGCAGCAGCGCTCTCTGAATGGTTTGAAAACAGCTAGATGCACTTGTTGTGCCTCTTTTTTCTCTGCTTTTTGCTGATTTCAGTAAAACTTCCCTCTACTCAACTGGGGATTACAAGCTAGAAACACAATTCTTTTTGCTGATGAAAGTAGACAGTCTATTCTTTCAGAATCTGGTTTCGGATTTCAGATAGTCATAGTACACATATACATATTCTGTGGGTCTTGAAAAATCTACAAAAATCATCAGAAACTGCTGGCAATATGGGAGTACCTGTTCTGAAATAGGCTGGCAGGCAATGAGTTAATAAACATTGAACCAGTCCGGCCCTCGGCTCGCAGCAAATTTGTTTTTTTGGCCCTCTGATGTATTTGACTTTGACATGCCTGCCTTAATCCATTTCTGGGTCGGGGGGGGGGGGGGGGGGGGGGGCAGTCAGAGCTGCACCCAGTCCAGAGAGCACCAGCCCCTCACTGATCCTCCTGCAGGTGGTGAGTCCACAGGAGCTGAGATCTTTCAGTTGGGGCTTTGGGCAAAGTAGGGTTAAAGCTGCACTAACTGACTTTATTTTTGTATTTATTACAAAAATGCTATCCATGTCCATGTGGTGCATTGGGATATACGTCCTTTTGACGAAAAAGTAGCGCAGATTTGTGCTGGCGTGACATTATATTTTAGATCGAGTTTTGATGAAACAAGGAAGAGAATGTGTTTCGGGTCGCAGATTGTGACCAATCACCGCGGACCACTAGCCCCCACTTTTGTGAGAAATCTACAGGTCTCCGTTAGCATAGACAGCTGAGTTGGCACAACAAGCCGAGGAGCTAACCTGAAGCTTCGTGTCTTCGTCACCGGTTACTGCTTACACAGCAAAACAGCCATCCAAAAGAAAGTCCCGTTCCTCCGCGCTTCCCGGTTCTATCGTTCTACGGTCACGCCATCCACGTGCAAATCCATGTCCATGTATTATCCATATTGGGAGACGCTAGCTTCGTCCCAACAGTGGGTGTGTGTGGGGGGCGATAGCTTCGTGGGTGCGGGGAGGGGAGCAGAAAGAGAGAGGCCAGCGAGTCTGCTGCTTCAAAATCCCAAAGTCAGTTAGTGCAGCTTTAAGTGTCTTGCCCAAGGACACAACGACAGCAGTCATCAGTGGGAGTCGTGAAGTAGGTCTTACGGTGGGCTTGAACCCACGACCTTCAGGCCCAAAGGCCAATGCTCTACCAACTGAGCTACTGTCGGCCCATTTATTATTGGGCGACAGCAGCTTATTTAGAAGATTGTCATTTAATAACAGGCAATACGATAAAATATTACTTCTCTTAATCACTACAAACAGTAAAAAAACGTGAATTACTAATAATATTTGCAACTTTTTGAGTCATAATGAAAATCATTTCCCCACAGAAGTAGAATAGGCTTAATTTAATCTTTTTCCAAACCGTGACTGTGAAAAATGCAATAACTATTAACACTCGGACTACCAGAATTTTGAACAAGAATTCCCAGAGCAGTCATTTTGATGGCTCCCATTATGGATTACTGGAAACTATTAATGTTCAATACAGCTTTAATACATACTCTATCTGTCCCTTCTCAAATAAAAAAAAAGAAAACATGCTGTCATACCTTGTTTTAGAATTTGACTTAATATTGTAAGTGTAAAGTATATGGTGAAACAAGTATGAAGGGTAAGAAATGCTGTTGGACCTGCCGTAACACTATCCCACTAAACATCCGACGTCCACTCAACCTCCAGATCACGTCAATATCGCGTCGGTCGGTCGTGACCTTTTATTTACGTCCAAACGACGTCTGTGCAAGGTGCGCATCTGGACGTAAAACAATGACCTCCCATATACGTGGATATGACGTTCAATCCCGACGTCCCCTAGTAGTGGTTAAGCAAATGTGTGCAGACTTGGTTACGTGGGTTCGAGCCCACGTGTGTGTATTATTATCTTTACATATTTGTTTTGATTTTTAACGAACAATTTTTTTCCTGTTTGGTTAAAGACTAATAAACACTCAACATAGGATTACGTAGTGGCTAATAATAAAACTTGTGAATGTATGCATTTGTTGTGCTAACAATCTCAAGTTTGCAAATAAGGGGTGAGCACTTGAGATTGTATGCAAATGCATGGGTTCACAAGTTTTATTATTAGCCACTACATAATCTTATGTTGAGTGTTTATTCGTTTTTAACCAAACAGAAAAATTGTTCGCTAAAAAGTGAAAAGTCAAAAGTTTTCCAACGGGGATTTGAACCTGCGTCGTTGCGACTGAAGTCTCATCACGCAACCGCTACACCACGGCCAGGCATTTTTCTGACTACTGTGACAAAATAATACATAACACCCTAAACAACCGACGCACACTTATGCGCCGCGCGAGTATAACTTAGGCTTTACAGCCTGACACGTGAGTCGCTCGGTCGAGGACCTGTTTTCCACGTCTAAACGACGTAAGGTGTGCATCTGGACGTAAAGCAATGCCTTCCCAGACGTTGATATGACGTTGAATCTGTACCTCTGTCGCTGCCCTGCTTTATTTAGCTACTTGGAATCACCCTCTCTAGTAAGTACACAGTCTGCACAGTTTTTAGATATAGATGTATCATTTCCACATTGAAAAGAGTTGGAGACAGAAAGTAAGTTGTTTTCTCACGTATACGTGGATTTTGTTAAGTATATTTTGTATATTATCTGTGTTTTGAATTGCCAGTGCATGAATCTATAATAATAACGGCTGGCACTGCTCAGCTGAAAGGGAGACACCTTGTTTTAGTTTTTAAGTTAAAGTTTAAAATATGATATTGTTTTTCATATTTCAAACTATTTTTAACACATTAGAATTCTTAGGTTAGACTGTCCAACAAAGTATGTGTTAAAAAAGGTTAAGATTCTTGAGTTTTAAAATAATAATTCAATTCTAAAATGTAAAGTTACTGTATATTTCACAATGGTTTTATAAACTGCAAAAAGACAACAGTACTTAGTAAACTAAGTTTAAAAACAGGGAGATCAGCTTTACTATTTGGGACACTCCCATCATTTAGACACCTGTGATGTCATCAGTTGGAGTTGAGTTCAGGTGTGGGACCATGTGGGACCATGTGGGACCATAGGAGCACACAGATGTTACCTGCTGCAGAAAGAGAGTTTAATGTTCATGTATTGCTTTGTTTAATAAATTGATTTAATGTCTTCCCAGGTCTTCAATGTCAGAGACGTTCACTTCTTCTCACTGTGGCTGTTTAAATGAGCCACTACAGTTGTTATTTTTGTTATTGTTAGCTGCAAATATTTAATATCCATTCATCTGCTGGTAGCAAGCTAACTAGCGCTTGCAACTCTATTCAGTTTCTTACTTTTTCTTATAAACTTTAAAACCAGCCATATGTTAATTAAAATACATTTACCTTTGCTAATGCAGTCAATTATTGTGAAATCCATAGAGTATAATTTCATGATTGTTGCAATAACTAATGTTCTATGTGTATTCCTAATGTGTCATGTGTGTTTGAGTCTTACAGGTGTCAGACTGTGTTGAAGGTGTTCAAAGGTAAGAATCACACTCTCACACATTGATTGTTCTTCTGTATTATTATGTTGTTTTTAGAATAAACCATTATTTGGTGTATTCTCTTTGGAAACATCTATCTTTTTCTCAGATTGTTCAGCAACTCACTCAAGATGAGGGAAAAGAGCAACAAGGGGAAAATGCCCCCTCGGAAATGCAACATATAGAGTAATACAGGGTAAGTAGCTTTCAGGGCTCATTTGTGTCCATGTGCAAAACAAATGCACATTTGCAATTGTTTTTTACATGGAATTACTCCAATGACCAAAGCCTTATCCCAAGTTTCTCAGACGGAGTGTCTTCCAGTGTCTCGAGCTAGTGCAGTGCCAAGGTTTGTATCACATGGTGATGGATCGAGTGGTTTGAGGCATTAATAGAAAGTGATGTGTTGTAATATCACTTTGCCACATTATGTTGAAACTAAACATGTTCCACATTTTCAGGTGCTGTGCTTGGACCTTGTGATGAGAGACTGAAGACCAAGAGAGGACACATGTTGGAACCTCAACATTCAATAAATGCATTCTTCTGCCTTTCAGATTGTGTTTTTACATCTGGGGGACCTAGAGTGTAGCTTGTGCCTGTTTTAATACTGATCCAAACATAGGTGCTACAATCATGTTTTTTTACTTTGGCATGAACTGTTCAGTACAGTAGTGTTCATAACACTGCCCTGTGTGCTTTAACTTGTACTTTGATGTAGAGAAACATGATTTTTAATGCAGCTCCATTTGCAATAATGACTGATATCCTTCTACTACAGTTGTTCTAATGATTTTTGAATGCTGTGTTTATCGTTTATTGCCCAGAGTCAGAACTAAACATGATAAAGCTGCATTTCAGATTCACAAGGCTAAAATCTGGAACGGTCTTCCTGGAAATGTGAGACAGGCTTCTTCTTTGACAATGTTAAAATCCAGGTTTAAAACACTTCTGTTTCTGCTTCAACTGAGAGATTTTATGAGAGATTTTATTTGTATCTTTTTAATTTACTGTCAATATTTATAATTGTAATGCCTTGTTTGATTGTTTCTATCTTTTGTTCAGTGCTTTAAGTTTCCTTTTGTTTTGACTGTGCTATACAAATAAACTTGCCTTGCCTATTGCAAAAAGTATGTCTCGACCAGTGAGTGATTCTGCAGAGGTTAAGTAGGTCAATAGGACTGTAAATGGACGTCATATAAACGTCAATATTTTGGTCATATAAGACGTCGAGAGGACGTCGGACCCGACCGGTTCTGTACCACATTGCAACCTTGTATGAAGTGGCCGCGACGTCATTTGAACGTCCAGATAACGTCCAGATGACGTTGAAATGACATAGTTTTGACATCTGCTTGCTTAGTGGGAACAACGGAAAACGAACGTCATATGAAGGCAATATTTTGGTCATATAAGACGTTGATAGGACGTCGGACCCGACCGGTTCTGTACCACATTGCAACCTTGAATGAACGTCCAGATGACGTTGAAATTACGTTGTTTTGACATCTGCTTGCTTAGTGGGAACGGCTGAAAACGAACGTCATATAAACGTCAATATTTTGGTCATATAAGACGTTGATAGGACGTCAGACCCGACCGGTTCCGTACCACATTCAAACCTTGAATTGACGTGCCATCAACGTAACATTTGGAGGTTGAGGTGACGTCGGGAAACGACGTCGAGAAAACTTTCATTCTGCACCCACCAGTGACCTATATTCTACGTCGGACAACGACGTTGAAATGACGTTGAGTCAACGTCGGCTTGCTTAGTGGGATGCCACTAACAGATTATAAAAATTACCAGCTCCTATGGCTAAAGGTGCCCTTGAAACTGAAATTGAAACTGTTTTAGCGGATCAATTTCACAGTGTCAATTGTTTCCTGCACTTTTTAAAAATGTGTTTTATTCCTGTACTTCTTGGTTTACTTATGTACTGGTCTTGTGCACACTGGGGACTTTTGCAAATGTATTCCAATGTGGTTTTACTGCAAATGGTCAATTAAATGAATCAAAAACCCATAAACAGGCGTGTGGTTGCAAACTTCTTTCAGGACTGAGACAAGAGGTCCTTGATATTAGCAGGGATGGATCTAAAAACAACTCCAGGTCTGTTTGTGATGTTGGAGCAATATTGTAGCATGATTAAAACCTCAAACAAAGTCAATTTTGCACAATACGTCTATTTTAAATGAAGTAATGTTCAAATTCTGCCTCTCTCCATAACATAAGGAACACATTTTTAATTTCTTACATTTTCCTCGTTCATTCTTGACTTTTTCCATAGCATCAAAGCACATATACACTGTACATACACATATCCCCTCTCCATCTCATATTTTTATCCCTTTACATCTGATTATATTTGGGTCCCACATGATCCGGACTGGGGAATGAGAGCAGCACCTGCGGGGATGCCGCCCTACTGAGCCTGTGACACGCGTTACACTGGCCGCTGTTGGGCTAATTGCCGCTGGGATGAGATGATCCTACACGGGCTGACAGGTGAGGAGCACCCAACCAGAACCGTGCACCCGGACATTTCTCCAGTGGCCACCGCGTGATGAGAGCGAGGAGGCACCCGTTTCCAATATGCACCCATAAATGCAAATTCTGCCATGTGCAAGAATGTTTATTGCGGAGAGATGCGGTGTGTAGCTATAAGAAGAAATGGGAAGTTAGGAATATGCCAATTATGTGGTTTTATGCATTTAAGGAGGTCATTGGTGTGTTACAGGCCATAGCACACGGGGTTATGCAGGGAAAGAAACACTTTTATTATGATCATTTATGGACTTTAATAAAGACACACTGATGTGGAAGAGTTTGGTTTTATTCTCAAACAATCCAAACTTTTCTCACAGTTTTTTCTGTAAGTAAGTGATATTTGTTTATATAGCGCATTTTACAGACCAAGGTCACTCAAAACACTTTACAATGTTTCAAAAATCACGATATTAATCCATTCCCTCCAACGTGATAGGCGGAAGTGAGACCCGATTACACATGGAGCATCAAGCCCCCTCAATCACACCATCCATTCACACACCTCATTACATTCTACCTTTGTACATGGTTTTAAGGGGTAACCGAAACCGAGCACCTGAGGAAACAACGCAGGGAGACAATGTAAACTCCACTCAGAAAGACCCTGTTCCAACAGGGATTTGAACCCTGACCTGAGTGCTATCCACTCAGCCTCTGTATGTGCAAGTGGGGAAGAGAAACTGCATACTTAAAGAAGCTATACCTGATTTTTTTTTCTAAGAGAACAAGAAGTGACCAGCCTGCGTCCTCTAGCCTCTACAGCGCTGCTTAAAGAGCGACTAAACGCCAAATCAACTTTTTCAACTCATAAACTCCATACATATGTTTATTGTAGTGCTCTCTACATATCCTGGTCATTTTTTTGACATTTTAGTTCAAATTAGATAAAATATCACTTTTGAGCCATAAAACGTCGGTGTGGCGCCCCTCTCAACCTTTTTGGTGGTACTGCATTTTAATTTGGTTCTGGCCTCTCCATTGGCTCTGAAGTTCTCTATGACATCAGTTGTTTTGTGTGACGTCAGTCTGTCAGAGCCAGTGATATGAACCCATCCAACTCTCACACACGCCCCAGCTGCAGTTTGGAGTATTCTGGCGCCATCTAGTGGATTAAAATTAAATTACATGAGTGATTCTGAGATTATTGAGTGTGATTAGGTTCAGGTGTGTAGCTTTACAGTTATCTCAGTGTGTAAACAAGGGTGGAATGAGACTTTCTGGTCTGTAAACTATTGCTTTAAGCAGCAATGACAACTGTCTGTTTTTTTTGTGTGTGACAAGTGAGCTGTCAATCACAGCCCAGACCACGCCCAACTCTAAGCCCCCCTTCTTGTCCCTTGGTCCTCCAGGCAACACCCTTTTAAGAGAACATTTTCAAATCTTCATGTGGGCGGAGTAAGGCTGGGCACAGGTGTTTAGTCGCTCTTTAACACCAGGACTTCGACTTCAATGTCAATTCCAAATATAATTCTGAAAATAAAATATATATACATATTTGAACAAATATTAGACAACCCCTTATAATTAGAAATGTATTTAATGACTGCAAATAAAATAGTTAGCTCCAAAGGTTTCACCGGACGTGCTAGGCAGGTAACAGCTAAGCTAGCTAGCTGTTTCATGGTAACTTCCGGGTTTTTCCCGCGATCGCTTTTTGTCACTTTAAAACCCAGTATTTTTGTCATGAAAACGTTGACCGCAAATTTCTGAAATCGTCCGTGCAATGTGTGTTAAGGATGTATATGTGTACTGTATTGTCCGATTGACGTTTGCATGGTGTTGATTGATAGATATGTAGTTGTTGAATATTGAGCGTGGCTAGCTCCGCTAGCTTCTCTACACAGACAAGTGTGCAGAAAAAACTGCACAGTGTAGTGACAGGCGCTGATAGCTTGTTGTACTTGCAAAGTAATGGCAGTATTTTACACACCTGAATTACAAACAGAGATTGCATTGGGGCTGCGGTCATTATTGGTTTGAGAGTTCTGTTATCAAGAAAAAATTATCGGAAGAATTGCATTCAAGTCAATGGAGTGCTGCTGCTGTGAGGAGCTGTATAATAAATGATAATTAAATATTAGAATATATTCTAATGTTTAAATTAATACATCCGGACGCGAAACTAATGGTATTCTTTTACTTATATATTGTGTTAGCAGTGCATTGCTTTAGTACCATTTCATCAGTGATTGTTGCACAGCTTACAAGTTGCGCTAATGCTAATGTTAGCATACGTATCAGATCGCAAATAAAACTAGGTGGCTCCGTGTTATGAGAGCGTAGGGGAAATGAGAAGCCTGTGAGCGAGTTGGGGGCGGTGCTAAACATTCAAACATTGCAGAAACGGGTATAGCGCCTTTAACTTGATTTGATGATGCATTGGTTTTATATCTTGCTTTTTGGACACTCAAAGACCATTCATGTGTCATTATTCTTTCACTCCATACACAGTGGTGATAAAATACGACTGTAGTCACAGATGCCCTGGAGCACACTGAAAGAAGCGAGGCAACCAGTATGTGCCATCGGCCTCTCGCACCACCACCAACCATTCACACTCACACCACTCATTCTATGCAATGTGAGTGTCTTGCCTAAAGACATAACGACAGATGGGCACTTTACGGCCGCAGC